CATCAAAACCTGAGTTGAGTATAGTTTACAGTAAATAACAAAAACTGAGTATGATGTTCTACTGACAACATGACTAATAATTTTGCCTGTCACGTTCACATTGTTGAGGAAATGACATGGGATTCTGCTGCCTCTGACACAATGATTGATGAAAAAACACACTTTTGCACGATAGACAAAGCATTTTGAGCAGGTGACGCGCTTTTTCCGGTTATCCACTATGTTGTGCAGTTTGTACGTGTTGTTTTGAGAAATGCACTTGGAGATCTGCAAACTTCAATTCTGTTGTGAGAAATGAATGAAAACGATAGAGAAAAACTGTAATACTGTGGAAAACTACAACTGAACGAAGATGCACAAGGTCAGATTGTTTTGTTTAGTATTGTTTATATATTTCAAAATGGAAAGTGGAATCAATTGTGATTCACTACAGGGCCACCTAGTGGCCAAGCTTTGGTAATACAATTGTATATGACTGACAATATAATTTTGTAATAATTGAAATTATGCCTTATCTTACCTTAAAGAAGCCTGTGCTTTTATAGAATCTTACTGAAAGCCCTTTTTATTAGGTATAATAATAATAACAACAATAATAATAATGATAATAACACCACCACCACGACTACTAATAGTAATAACAACAACAATAATAATAGCTTTATAAAACAGGGTAGAAATTGAATCAAATAAAAAATATAACTTTCAGCAAGATTCAATACAGTAAAACTGCTACACCTGAATTTGTTTGACAATATTTGTACGTTACATCACAAATTAAGACGTGACAAACTCCTCTCCACTACAGGGCAATGTGAGAGAGATTATGGATCATTACTATATAGTAAATAATGCGAATACCCTAATTACAATGAATACAAGAGATCCACAAATTGGCTCTAAAATAAAAATACGAATTTACCTTCGCTGCTCGAAAATATTTCACTCAAAATGCAGAAAAATGGTCAACAAGTAAGTAAATAAAGAAAGTAAACAAAAGACAATTTTAGCAACGATTCTTCAAGCCGAGAGCTGCCGGAAAAAATTCGTTGTGCTATGCATAATGACAATAAAGATTCTTGAGCTTCAACATAATGAAAATAGCCTCCATGTGTTTGGTCATGTGACCAGGCTACGTACTCACATTAACGTATGACGTAGAGGTGTACGCTTCGCTAGTTTCCTCAAACACTCAACTGACATTGTGTGATAAAAAGCTGGAAGTTAGCCGGTGGACGAGGGTTATTTTGTCATAAAAAACACACGCACCTAACACTCCTATGGCGTTTTAAACAAACTGAGTTGTTGCTGTGTCTGAAACGTGCCTTATTAGCGACTAAAACGGCGAAATTCCTGCTTGTAAGCCCTCCAAAGGCTGTTTTTTTTATTTTGCTGTGGCTGTCGAAAGGCGGGGAATACAAAGCGACGTGTCGCCAAATCTATTACATTTTGGACACCGTTACCGCAAAAACGGGATTACTACAAAGTCGTTTCGTGCTGCTGTGGTTGGTCAGTGATAGTCCATGGATTATCTGGTAAGTAAATTAATCGAAATGCCGAGACAGATAGTGATGTCAGTCATTCAGCTGTGTATCGTTAACTAACAACAAGGTGTAGTGTCAGCTGTAGCTTTTCTCTATCAGTAATGTGTGGACTAGGTCTAATTGTTTTAACGTTACCCAGACCCCATTCTTTATACATGGGAAACACGATAACTAGTCAGGTAGCTGGACTCTGGAACCACTGTGACACGAAGTTATTTTCGACAAAACTCATTCTCGCAGAGGATAAACCTGTGTGTTGGATTAGGCTACCTTGAGTTCAGATGTACTTGGAAATGAGACAGTCTGTATCTGCCCTAGTCTGAGATATTAGTGGCCTGCATATTTTTAAAACCCATGATTAAAATAATGATTACCGAACATTGTACCAGCTTTGGCCTAGGAGATTATGGTCTTTGGGCCTTTGCCCACATTGTAGGGATGGGATTGGTGTTGCTGAAACAGTGCAGCACAATAGAGAGGAAGCTGTAACTGTTCACTGGGAATTTATAAAGCCAGAGGAAAACAACTACACAGACATTGTGCTGTCATCCCAGGAGGGGGACAGAGTGTCAGTATGAAATGTAGAGGAACTTGCCCACCCAGTGTTATCAGCTTGTTTATAATGGGCCTCCCTAGATGTGGGACCTAAAAGGAACTTTGAACCTGTGCTTCATTGGGGCATTTCTTGAGTCAAGATTACAAAGTCCTCTAGTTAATACAAAACAGCTATAGTCTGCCTTGTCTGTCTTCTATCTTTGCAGTGACAATTCTTGTGGGGAGAAAAAGGGGACCACAGTTGCACATCATAGCATGCACAAGTTATTCTGTAAATGTGGTCAGGTGTTAATGGACGGTTGTTGTAAACATTGGAGGTATTGTTGTCTAAAAGAGCATGTTCATCATGAAGTGAAATGAATGAAATGAGGTTCACCCAGAACTCTTCTTTTTTTTGCATGATATGCTGCATAAACAGAACAAATCTTATTCTTGTGCACTCACTTTATTTATATAATTTGGGAACAACTGTGGCAAAGTGCAATAAGCTACAATTTCCAATTTGTTTTGGTCAGATTATCATACCTAAAGCATGTTTGAGCCTTGAGCGCATATTGAGAGAAAATATTGAGGTAAAAAATATTCTGTCTTATGTGACTGAAGGATTTAAGATTTTCTGTGACAAACATTTTTTCTGTGGAAAGCACAGCTGTAACTCTGTGGACTGTTAGAGCCGAGTGCTTGGCTGTCCTTGGAGGTCAGCCACTCACTAGGCACAGGGCCTCCTTTCCTGCTGTGCAACACTGGAGACCTGGCACAAAACCCAGGCTAAAACTATGTCTCTCCCTTCTTTCCTATAAATCACTAGGAACATGTTGATAATGGTGATAATCTTGTTGTGTTTATACTTTTAGGTGAAGTTTTAGATTAAATTTGACCCATAATTGTACATGGGATGGCTGGTTTAGCTTATGACTGTGACTTATGGTGTATTCAGTTTTGACTGGGAGCTTCCACTGTATGGTCAGTGTAGTGTAAAAAAAAAAAAGACCACACAAAATGGTATCACTGACAGAGGAATTTGGTGCTAGCTGTTGCCGCGATACAGCCTTACCAAATTATGAGTGCACTGTATGACTAACTCTTGGACCTTGACATGACTTCATTAGACAGGATCCATTGAGCATGTTTGGATGTGAGAAAACTGAACTATAGTGGTGCTCTTAACCTTTTGTAACTTGTACAAAAGCATGATGCATTATTCTGAGGTTTAACTGTAGCAGACACCATTTTTAGTTGTAGAAACGTTTTTGCATACCCTTACATATAATGCTGTTGTTGGGTTTATGTACTACAATATTTTTCACTGCATTATTTGTGCTCAGTTATGGCTCTAGGAAACTTTATAGCCTGTAGGCTCTTTCCCGCACACTATATATGCTTTTCACAACCAACTATTTATGTCTGCACCATACAAGTCATGCAGGTGGACTGACATTCAGGTTATTTTTGGTGCTTTGCCCTTAAAGCTACAGTATGTTAACTTAAGGCAGCACTAGCATGAAACTCCAAATCAACCCACTCTGCTCCGCCTAGCGCTCCCTCTCTCTGCTCCACTACGCTCTATTATGATCTACTATGCTCCACCGCGCTCTGCCCAGATCTTCTGATATTTGTCATTATGAAAGTAGAAGAAATGAGAATGCAACAAAACTTACTGATGTTCCAGAAATAATTGAAAATCTCTTATTGGTTAGAGAGATCAATCCCGCTCAAAACCTTTTAGAAGCTAATATCTCTGTACTGTTGCCAGCGCTGTTCAACCTGGGTTACAGGAGGCCTCGACAGCACCTCTCCTCATCAAGACAAGTTTTGGAGCTTATTTCTACAATAAAAAATATTTGATAAAAGTTACATACTCTACCTTTAAGGAACACATACTGTATCTGCAATGTTTTTAAAAAAAATCATTGTATAGTTTTAGTGGAATTTAAATTATACCAAAGATTCAGTGCAAGAATTGCCAGGCACTTAATCCAGATGATAATATTGGGCATTAGCCTAGCTCCATAGCCTATGTGATACCAGGCTGGTGTTAATTTTTCTTCAGTTTTATCCCCTGTCTGACCATGTTACACTCCTTGTTGGTGCTAGCTGAGGTCTTTATCAAGCTCTCCTCAGAGGCAAACAAAAATGACCTATTGTAGACAGATAAGTGCACCAACATTCTTACAAAATATTTCGGCTATGTATTTGCCTTATATATTGTATGTATGGATACCTGCCGGTAGCATGTCAGCCGGGTTTTTGTGTCTGCTGTGAGACATAATGGGATAGCCTACTTACTGGGGGTTCATATAGCTATGATCACAATCAAGCACAAGCAGTTTTATATTGATATCGACACAAGTTAAAATTTTCTTTATATTCTTTTAGACTCTAACCACTCTCATTGCACTGAGCCCTGCAAAGCTTTTCCTCTCTAGAAAAACAAATATGAAGGACATGGATAGGTCGAGGGACCTAATTGTTTACTCTGCTGTGATTGTTTTTGAAGATTTGTAGGATAGATAGGTTTATAAAAGCCATAAACCCAAGTTGCTTTCAATGGAAAGCATATTTTACTAACCCATTGTCAGAATAAATAAACTGCTGTAGAACTGTTATGTGCTGCCTTGTTACACAAGGTACTGCATTACAAAAGAGTATATCTACACTCCCTTTTCTTTGAGAGAGAGAAAGAAAGGGTTAATTTGCAACTACAGTAATGGGCTCAATTTTTTTTAAGTTCAGGAACTGACAATTATATGATATTGGTCTTAAGCAAACGAGGCACAAAGTTGTCACAGTGCTCTGGTTTTAAACCAAATGACAGATAAGAATATATTTCATTCTGGGTGTAACAAATGCTTGAACTGTAGGTTTTGGCTTCATAATAATTTAAATAAAATACAACATAATTCTTTATTATTAATCCATTCATTTCATCATATCATAACTTGTTCTTGACCTGCTTGGAGAACTTGTTTTTTTTTTCTAGTGTTTTCCTGAAGGTGTAAAGAGATCAGTAGAGCAGTGGTACTTTACTAAGGAAAGTGCCATGACCTTACAGCAGTGTGCCGATTGCCTTAGGCTGTTCTTTTCTCATTTTTTGTTATCTAACTTTGAATTACTGCAATAGCATGCTAACTAAGCTCTTTACATGAAACAGTTTGCCTAAAGGCACAGTTAAGGTGTAATTATGTTTGACTCAGAACTATGCTGTTTTCTTCTTTCAAAACCTTTAACAGTTCAAGGCTGCCTGTTGTGCTGTGCAGAGATTCTGTGTTTTTTCTACCATAGAAAGGCTAAGTGCTTTTATGGTTAGCCTCCACAAAGAATACATGAATAATACATACCCAGGAATACTTGAGTAATAAAGAATAATAAGCATTTCTTGTGAATGGTAACAATAGAGAAAGCAGAAAGTAAAGATGTGGCTAACACATTCTGAATTAGCTAAGTTACATCAGCTAAGGAAGCTAGTTAGTTGATGTTGATATGTTATGTTATGATGTTAGCCTATATGTTTTTTTTAAAAAGTGCCTAGGCTGTCTGAAAACCTAGGGAAAACCCTGAAGTTAGATGTCACGTAGCCTTACTGCTTTACACTTGCTCTGCATTATAACACTGCAGTATGTGAATGGCAGCACCACTAGACATTTGAGCTGACCAAAAACAAGCTATTTAAACAGCACTCACAGTTCCCCCTGAACAGAAGGACTTCTGACAAAGCCTCCCACAACAGTTGCTGAATCCCCATGACCACTGTAAGCTCAAGAGGTTGATCCCTTCATCCTCCTCCATGCATCCAAAGCAATGATTTTCATATTTCATGAAGCTTTGTGAACAGTATGGGCATAGTGTGTGGGTGTGTAATGGTGACTAATCCAATTTGCGGTCTTATTCTGGATATTCTGGATCCCTCCTTGTCACTGAGCCCTTAATCTCTGTGGAGAGATCCTCACAAACTAATCTGAAGCGTTTCTGTTCGCTGATCCTTGTGGTTATAGTTTTATATTTTTATGAATGTGTACAGAGGGTAAACACAAGGTCCTTCAGTCCTGCTCATCTGCACCCTTGCAAACCCTCTCTGTAAAGCTCAGACTTAAACAAAAATGGCTTGTGGATATACAATGAGGAACAGAAGTATTTGAACACCCTGCGATTTTGCAAGTTCTCCCACTTTGTCTTGCACTGCTGAACATAAGTATTTGAACACCTGAGAAACAGCAAGAATTCTAGCTCTCAAAGACCTGTTACTGTGCCTTGAAAAAGTCCACCTCTACTCCACTCATTAATCTAAATTAGTAGCACCTGTCTGAGCTCTTTAAAGACACCTGTCCACCCCACAGTCAGTCAGATGCCAACTACTACCATGGGCAAGACCAAAGAGCTGTCAAAAGACACCAGAGACAAAATTATGGACCTCCACAAGGCTGGAAAGGGCTACGGGG